GTATCAGATCTCATCCATTCCAAAAACGCTGTGTGATCAACCCAGCTGCTCCTAGATCACCAGCTTCCTCAAAGGTTCAGCCAGTTGTATCAACAGTGTATTGCTAACACATCAACATAGACTATGGGTCTATGTACTGCTGTTGCTGCTGCTGCTCTTCCTACTGTCCACACCATTCAGGAATCCCCAACCCCCAGCAAACATCTTAATGCACAGTCACAAGTTACTATACAATGGGCCTGCTTCTCACATACAAGGTTAGGCACTTTAAACTGCTTCCAAGTTGGTATCTGCCCCATCCCCAAAGCAAAATCAAATGTTGGATGAACAGCTACTTCCTCTTATTAAAGCCATGCATCCTACTCTTGCTGTTAAACTCATTGGCATGCCCTTGCAGATTGATAACTTGAGAACTATCTCATATGCTTGAGTCTCTAGAGTCTCTTGCTCCAAGGCTGATAAGGCTGTAGCTATACTGCAAGCCACCAAGCTAGAGGCTGCCCAGAAGGCAGTTACCAGAGCCACTGTCATTCCAACTGTTTACAATTTATCAGAGACCAGGAAAAGAAATTTGTGCTTTGAAATAGCGAAAAATTTAAATATTACGAAAACAACCCTGAAAAAATATAAAATTTAAAAAGGAGAGGAGTTGGGTGTGGTGGCACACGCCTTTAATCCCAGCACTCAGGAGGCAGAGGCAGGCAGATCTCTGTGAGTCCAAGGCCAGCCTGGTCTATGTAGTAAGTTCCAGGTCAGCTAGGGCTACAGGGAAACCTTGTCTGAACAACAACAAAAACCTCTTGCTTTAATAAAGTTCTTTAAACAGTGTAAATATATATGTGTCTGTGTGAGTGTGTACATGAACACATGTACCTGGGGATGTCCACTAAGGGCTCAGCACCTAAGGCTTTTTATTGAAGGTTGGTCACATAGACAGGATCTACCTAGCAGCTATCAAATAGATCTCCAGAAGGAAAGCAGATGTTTACATAAATCATATAATATGCACAAAGAGTTTAGGCACAATGAATCTGCTTATCAGTTAGAAACTGAGGAAACAGTTCAAATGCCCCAATTCTCTGATGTCAACCATCGCCAATCTCAAAAGCAAGCCCTGTTTGCAGTCTCAAATCTGCTCTGTTAGCTCTTTTACATAGAAGTGGAGGTTAAAATTGCCAGTGAGTCAAGTATTTTCCAAGTGGTATTAGGGTGCTATAAACCCAAGGCAGTATCAATTAACTGAAGCAGTTATGACAAGATACAAAACTAACAACATGCCGGGCTTGGTGGCATACGGCTTTAATCCCAGCATTTGGGAGGCAGAGGTAGGCGGATCTTTGTAAATTCAAGGCCAGGCTGGTCTACATGGTGAGTTCTAGGCCAGCTATGGCTACAGGGAGACCCTATCTCAAAAAGACAAAAAACAAAAACAAAAACAAAAATAAAACCAAAAAACTAACAACATTACAATTACAGAATCTGGGGATTTTGTTTTGCTTTGATTTGGGTACTGGTCAACCCAAGGCCTTGTTCATGACAGATAAGTACTCTATCACACACATATTCTACCATTGACCTATACCCAGAGCTCTCATGAGCTTTTAAAAAAAACTGTTTTTCTACATTTATTGGGGGGGGGGAACGTTGCCATATTGCCAGTCCTCCAACAATGTGACTGAATAATGAAGGCAAGTTGAGCTCAAGATGTACTTTTCAATTATTGAATGAGAAAGGGTACTATCACTGCTAGAGATGCAGAACCATCTTCTTGTTTTTGTTTTTTTGGTCTTTTTGAGACCCTGCCACACTTGCACTGTGGCAGCTCCAGCTGGCCTGGAACTCACTATGTAGGCCAGGCTGGCCTGGAACTCATAGAGATCGCCCTGCCTCTGCCTCCCGAGTGCTAGGATTAAAGGCATGCACCACCACGCCCTGCTAGAACCCTCTTTTTAAAAATCTTCCAATTCAGGCTGGTGTGAGTGCTCCATGAGTAAAGGCCCTTGCCACTAAGCCCAAGTTCAATACCCAGAACCCACATAGTGGATGGAGAACCACAAGTTGTTTTCTGATTTCCACACTTGCACTGTGGCAAAAATGCATGCACAAATGCACACAAAAATGAATGTTAAAAGATTTTAATTAAAAAAAATCCAACTCTCTGCACTCTCTTCTCCCTGAACATAATAAACTTCTGATATGTTTGTTGGTTTTCTTTCTAAGAGTATACCTGACTAGCTGGCAGAGTTTGATTTAATAATATGGTCCATTATCCGTCAGACTCATCTAAGGTTACCAGTGATCATTCATTAAGTGCCCACAGGCTTGTTTTTATTCATGTCATTGTGTTGATCTTCATAATACTCCTACCAAGCATTGTTCTGTTTTTTGGTTTGGGATTTTTTTTTACAGGAGAAAGTAGAGATTGGCATATGGAACTGACTTGTCCAGTCACACTAGTATAAAAAGATTGTTTTCTCACTCAAACTCATGTTTTTGTCATTCTATTGTACTCCCCTGACTTGTTTTTTTCCTTTTGACTCAGGACCTCAATATGTTGCCTAGGCTGCTGCCACTGCCTCCTACTCCTCTTCTTCTAGATTTATTTTTATTATTTGGGTATGTGTGTGTCTGTGTGAATGTATGCTATATGTATGCATGCCTGAGGAGGCCAGAAGAGAGATTTCCTGGACCTAGAGTTACAGGCAGTGGTGACCCACCAGATATGGGTGCTAGAAACATAATTCAGGTCCTCTGGAAGAGCAGTGAGCTCTCTTAACCTCTGAGCCATCTCTCCAGTCCCTTCTCTCTTTTTTTAAAAAAATATTTTATTATTTTTAATTTTTGTTTATGAGTGTATTGCCTGTATGTATGTAAGTGCATCTGTGTCATGCAATGAATGCCCTTGGAGGTCAGAAAAGAGTATTGAATTCCCCTGGAACTGGAGTTACAGACAGTTGTTAACCACCATGTGGGTGCTGAGAATCAAACTCGGGTCCTCTGCAAGAGCAGCCAGTGCTCTTAACTGCTGAGCCATCTATCCAACTTCTTTCCTTCTTTGTTTAAAGATTTTATTTTTATTAAGTGTGTGGGGGCGGTGTATGTGTGTATGCAATTCACCCTCAGATGCCAGAAGAGGGCGTCAAATCCACTAGAGCTGAGTTACAGAAGTTATGACCTGCCAGTCATGGGTGCTGGAAACCCAATTCTGGTTCTCTACAAGAGCAGCACGTGCTCTTAACTGCTGAGCCATCTCTGCCGTCCCTGGGCTGTCTTCTGAGTAGCAGGGACTACAGGTATCTGCTACCAAGTCCAGTTCATACTCTCTCTTTAACCAGAAGTCAGGTTGGCATTAGATCTTCCAGGACCTGCTCACCTTGCAAGTGAGTGATAAAATCAAGTTTGAGAACTGACTAAAAGACCAGGTCACTCTGCCAAAATGCCTAAGATAGCATTTTGTCTTCATCCATCTCCAGACCACAAAAACCACTCCCAACTGTGGCAGGCAGGTGTGCAGTCATCACAGCTCTGATCCTGCCCAAAAAACACCCTCTTCGCATCTTTGAGAAAGCTGACTGGATAAACAACCCTATCCCTTCAATGCTAATGCACTATGCTGAGTCTCATCACACACTGGTGGGATGAGGGAAAAAGCTGGCTTTTACTGCTCATCAACTCTGTGCCTTGCCCTGAGCAAGACACTTTATACCTGAACTCATTTAATCTTCTTTCCTTTTATAAATAAGCAAACAGGTATGAGCATTTAAGTGACTTTCCCAAGACTACAGTAACAGTAAAGGGATCAAATTCAGATCTGACACATCTGTGTTCTTCCCATACCTTTTTTGGTTTTATGAAACTGATCTCCTGAGTCCTGTGCCACCTCCACGCATATCTTTTATCTTCCAAGATAAGGATTCTTCTGGCACGAGTTCTTTCTCTTCTGAAGCAATCCTGAATTTAGTGCTCTGCCACTGATAGTTCACTGCCCATCCCTGCCCACTGCACCTTGTGTCCGAACACACAATGTTGTTGTCGTTTAACAGTTTAATGCCCCCAATCCGTAGAATACGCAGTCGGTGTGCAGGTTCAGAAAGCACATTCAGACACGATGCCCTCCACCACAATTCAATGATAAGGGCAAAGCAGAGGAAAACACCCCTATTTTAAGAGACAGCTCTCCAAGGTCACGGAATAAAAACTGGGAAATCAGGACGAGAGGCCCAGGTTTGGACCCTTGGCCCTTGGCTTATCCCGCTGCTCCTCACCAGCACTCACGTACCAGTCACAGCCCCCGCCCCAGAGGTGTCACGAGATGCTGCCTGCCCGCGCATAGCTCGCCACCCTCCCACATCCACCCGTACCCGCAGCTTCTCCCCGCCCTGCCAACCTGTCCACAGCAGAAACCCCGCCCGCCGCCCCACCTGGCCGCCTTCTCCACTCAGAAGCGCCCTCCTGTCACTAGCGGTCTGCGACCCCAGCGCCTCGGCCTCTTTCGAACCCTAGCAGTGGGGATCCACTGGACTACCTCAGGGTCCTCTTCCTGTCAGTCCGTTGCCGAGCCCGCCCGGATTACCTTCTCCAAGGATGCGGGTCTCTGCACAGCCAAGGAGCGGGCCAGTGAAAGGACCGTGTTGAAATAAAAGCCCCGCGACGTGCCGGAGCCAGAGCTGGAGCCCGAGCCGGAGCCCGAGCCGCCTCCGCCACCTCCGCGGGCCCCAGCTGCCGCCATCGTCCCATGAGCCACAGTACTGCCCGGCCCGCTCGCCTCACCCGGCCAGCGAGCGCCGGATCTCATCGCGCAAGCGCAGCAGTCGCGGGCTTCCCGGACACGTGACCGCTCTGCGGCAGATACTGGGTGGGGCTTGGAAGTGGGGCAGGCCCAAAGCAGCAGGGGGAAAATGAGTTAGTGAAGTGGGCGTGGCCGCGTGTGGCGGATGGTCTCCCCCCACCGCTGCGTGCGATGGTTGGCTCCAGAGGCGGGGCTGCCGACGCTACACTGCCGGAAGTAGCTCTCGGAGGTCCGCCCACCGGGCGGTGGGCTGTTGACTGTGGTCCGGCCGCTCCTCCGCTTCCTAGGACAGACCATCGCCGGCAGCATGTCGGGCTACCCCAAAAGCTATAATCCTTTTGACGATGATGCGGAGGATGAGGACGCCCGGCCGGCGCCTTGGAGGGACGCCCGAGACCTCCCCGACGCCCCCATGGACAGGCAGCAGTACCTGCGACAGGAGGTGCTTCTTAGGGCAGAGGCCACAGCCGCCAGTACCAGCCGGTCCCTATCGCTCATGTATGAATCGGAGAAGGTTGGGGTCGCCTCTTCTGAGGTGAGCCTGAGGGAGGACTGAGCTGAACTGGCCAGTCCTTGCATTGCCAAATGTTTTCCAAAAAAGATTTTGTACACGATATTTTGGGACTTTTAAACTTGCCTACCATAGGTTCTTGCACTTACTGGTTTGATCATAATAATCCATAAACTATGTAAAAAGTTATGAATCTATTGTGCTTGAAAGAAGGTGTTTACCTCTGGAATCTTCCTTAGCTATGATTCTGCATAGTTGATTCATCCCTCCACCCCCATGCCTAGTTAAAAGGTAAACTCCAGAGGCAGAACTGGAGGTAAGAATTCCAAAGAGCAGAGCCTGGATTAGAAAACACACTTCTTGGTCATAAGCCTTAGGCCATTCCTTATTAGTGACCCAGATAAAGTGTAGACTGTGTGCATGCCAGGTGCTTGAGGCACCAGAGCAAAGGGAACCTTGAGTTCTTCCCACATCCTTGAGAACTTTTCACCTTGCTAATGGGAATATTTAAGTCCCTCTGCCAGGACTCCTAGTGAGTAAGCCAAATTCTGAGTTGGGTTGAGTCTAGAACCTTACTTTTATTTCCCAGATCCTAAGCAGATATGTGTATATTGAGACAATCTATTGCTCCAGCCAGCTCTTTTCATCCATAGAAAATTTCAGAGACTTTTTATTTATGTATGTGTGTGTCTATTTGTGTGTATGCATATGTTTTGTGCCGGTGCCCATGAAGAGCACAAGTGGGCATTGGGGGATACCCTGGAGCTGGAGTTACAGGCACTTATGAGCCACCCAATGTGGATACTGAGAACTGAATTCACTCTGGTCCTCTGAAAGAGCAGCTTAATTGCTGAGCTATCTTAGTAGCCTAAGGGGTGGAGGTGGGAGGTTTAAGGCAGTCTGCCTATGAAGCTCAGGCTGGCCAGGAATCCTCTGGCCTCAATCTCCCTAGTGCTTTGATTATAGGCATACACTGTAGCTGACGTTTTCAGTAAGGATTATTCCTAGATACCCTCTTGTCTCCTAAACTTATTCCTAATAAAAGTTGTTAGGGCAGAGGGGGAAAAGTTAAGAAATTACTGATATATCAGCTAAGAATAATCTTAAACATTTTGCAGTTTTGAAAGTAGTGGTTGAAATGGAAGTATTGTCGACCTCTTCCAGTCCTCATGCATGACTGATCTTTGGCAAAAGTCATTTACTCTGATCATTTAGGGTCTTGGACAGTATATTGGTTACTTTTCTGTTGCTGTGATAAAAACACCATGACCAAGGGAATTTATAAAAGGAAGAGTTTATCTAGCTTACAGTTCCAAAGGGGCAAGAGTCCATCATGGTGGCTGGAGTAGGAGCAGAAACTAAGTACTTACATCTTCAAGCAGGCACAGAAAGCAGAGCTCAACTGGAGATCTCGCAAGACTTAAGAACTCTATAAGCCCACTCCTAGTAACTTGCCTCCTCCAGCATGGCTACACTTTCTAAGACATCCCAAAACAGTGCCACCAAATAAGAACAAAATTCTCAAATACATAGAACCTATGGGGGACATTCTCATTCAAACCACCACAGACAGGTATAAGGTATATTGACAACCTTCTCATCTAGGCTATCACTTCTGCATTGCTACTGGTTATTTTCCCTCTCCCACCCGTCCCTGTTATCGTGTCCCTGGTTGTTAATTTACCTTCCTATCTTTAGCCTTGTTCAAGAAATTTTGCATATGGTTCTTACTTAATCTGTGTACTAGATTTGTATTCCAAACCAAATCAAATGAGTCTTAGGGCCTTAGGTGAAAAGGTCAGTTTGGCAAGGTGAGGTGGCTCATGCCTTTAGTCCCAGCACTTGGGAGGCAGAGCAGGCAGAGCTCTGTGAGTTGAAGGCCAGACTGGTCTGCATAGTGAGTTTCAGGCCAGCTGGGGCAACAGGGAGACCCTGTCTCAAAAGAAAAAGAAAAAAAAGGTCAGTTTGTTTAGTTTTGTTTGCTTTGAGATAAGGTCTCATTATGTAGCCCAGACTGGCCTTGAACTCAAGATTCTCTTGCTTGTCTTCAAAGTGCTAAAATCATAGACAGGTACCACCATGCCAGGCTGTGAGCAGGTAGGTCTCTTGATTGGGGTTCCTAAACCTAAGGAGGCAACCAAGAACTTTTTTTTTCTAATTTTATCTTTTTTCATTTTTATTTTTTATGTATATGAATGTTTTGCCTGCATATATGTAAGAGCACCACATGCATGTAAACCCACAGTGGCCAGAGAGAGTGTCAGATCCTCTGAAACTAGAGGTACAGATGGTTGTTAGCCACCATTTAGGTGCTGGGACCTGAACCCAGGTCCTCTCCAAGAACAGCCTGTGCTTTTAACCACTGACCCATCTCTTTAGCCCCTAAGAACTATTTTTTTAAACTCATAAATTTATTTATCCCATCTTAAAGTTTTTTGAAACTTAATTTTATATCTTTATGTGTGTTCATAGTATATGTGAAAAAAATCACTAGGCATGGTGGTACATGCCTTTACTCCCATCACTTGAGAAGTGGAGGCAGGTGGATCTCCATGAATTCGAGGTCAGCCTGGTCTATAGAGAGAGTTCTGACCTGTGTGCAAAGGCGGAAGGTTGTTGACAAGTATCTTCCTCTTATCACCTGGCTAGACTGGCCAGCCAGAGAGCTCTGAGTACCTGCCCATCTTCATCCTTCATCAATAGGATTATAGGCCCATGCCACCACAACAGACTTTTATTAGGTCTGGGTTCCAAACTCAGGTTCTCATGCTTGTACAGCAGGCACTTTATCTACTGAGCCATCTTCCTAGCCCTATTTATCCCCTATCTTTTTCACTCACTAGTGTTTATGGAATATGAGCAGCCCCTGGGTGGGGGACATTTCCTTTATGTTATATCACATATAATTGAAATAGTTATGCTCCATATTTGAGATTCATATGGGTTTTAATGTTACAACATTTTTGATTATTGTTTTCTGAGACAATGTTTTGCTGTTTAACCCAGGGTAAGCTCAAACTCGTCATCTTTCTGACTCAGTTGCCCAAGTGCTAGGCTTATAAGTATGTGCTACCATGCCCAGTTATTTACATCATTTTAAATGGCATTTATTTAAAAACTTTACATATGGATAAAATCATTACTTTTCCATTGCTGTGATAAAAAACCGTCACTAAAGCAACATATAGAAGGAAGAGTTCATTGGGCTTAAGCTTCAAAGGCATGAGAGTCCATCATGACAAGGGAGGCATGGCAGGAGGCAGCCAGAGCAGAAAGCTGAGCACTCAAATCTTTAAGCAGGCACTGGAAGCAGAGAATGAAACTGAAAATGGGCAAGACTAAAGCTCACCCCAGTGACATCCTTCCTCCAGCAAGGCCACACCTCCTAAACCTCCCAAAATAGCCACCAACTGGGGACAAAGTGTTCAAATATGGAGCCTGTGAGGGACATTCTCGCTCAAACCACCACATTCCACTCCCTGGCCCCTATAGGCTCATGACCATATCATAATATAAAATGCATTTAGTCTAACCTTAAAAGTCCCCACAGTCCTTAATGGTCTCAACACTATTCAAAAGTCCAATATCCAAAGTTTCTTTTTGAGACTCGAGATACTCTGTTAACCGTAACCCCCTGTAAAATCAAAAAGACACATTACATATGTCCAACACGCATGGAATCAAAATACATTCCCATTACAAAAGGGAGGAATGGAGGCATAGTAGAAAAATACCAAACCAAAACAAGACTGAAAACCAAGAGGGCAAATATCAAATCCTGTTGCTATGGAAATCAGGCAGTAAGAGACCAAACATTTGCTCAGAAAGTTAAAGCACTCTCAATTTGTTTATTTTTGTCAGTGGACCCAGAGGAGTTAACACTCTGAAGTTCTGGGCCCCAAGGTACAGAAATCCACAGTTTTTATAGATCTCCCCTCATCATATCTTAACTGCTATAATGCTGGTAGATTTAAATTGCAGCCTACATGGCCACCAGCACATATATTTACATGTCCCAAGGGCCCCCAAGCAGCAATTACTTCCCCAGATGTGTTTACAGAAACAGATATTAAGGGCAAGGGTTCAGACATTCCTTACAACAGAATTTATTGTTGGTGCCTTAGCACGCAGGACAGTTGCAAATACATAACAGTGGCATTCATTTCTCAAGATAGCTTGAGGTCTTTGATGTTCTCCATTTTAGTAAGCTTTCATAAAACCACTTAAAAGGTGAGTACTATGTCCCAAAGTATAAAATCAATCATTAAATGATAAAAGCAATATCAGACATACACAAAGAGTGACATTAAATGCATGGGTATATTTCTTTTCCTCCTCACAGTAGCTCCATATCTGATGTCTGAGACGTTAGTTCCAAAGGACTTAGATGGCCCAGCCTCTCCAGCTTTGCTGCCTGCAATATTCATCACTCTATTGGACTGGTATCACTCTATACAGCTCTCCTTGGCAGATGCCTCATGGTTCTGGCAACTCCAACATCTTGAGATCTCTACTGCCAACCAGGCTTCACCTTCAAAGCTTCAAACAATGGCTTCTTGGGGCCCCTTGGCCTCCCAGGGCCTTGTATTATACAGGGACTTCCCTGCCACACTCTGCCTGGCCTCAGCAGCTCTCTGAAACTGCAAAGGCAGAGTCATTGACCCCCCCCCCCACTCTTGCATCTTTCATGCCCGGAGAACCAGCAGCATGTGAATGACTCTGCCAAACTCCACTAGCCCCTATATTCCACATAATCAGCAGCTTTTGCATGTTATAGTTTTCTAAGAACAAAAAACTTCTTAGGCCTTTTCCTTTCACTAGTTGGAAACTTAGCTGGATAGGGTCTTGCCCTAGGGGTACTCTTTCCATTGTTCAGTTGCAAATCTGGAGGCCACTTCTTTTTTTTAATATTTTATGTGTATGCATGTATTGCCTGCCTGTAGGTAGGTGCACCCATGTCTTGTAATGCCCATGGAGGTCAGAAGAGGGAGTCAGATCCCCTAGAACTGAAATTACAGATGATT